ACCCGGCTGGCCCAGGTCCGGGCCGCGTCTTCATCGCCCCGACCTCCTGGGGCCGCGCGGCCACCGCGGCCCCGCACCCCTGTCCCGGCTTTCGCCCTCTGAACCGGGGAGAACCCCAACAAGCCAGGGAGTAGCCGGGCGTTTCCACCCCGCGGGACGCCGCCTAACGGGCCCCGGCGGAAAACCCACCCAGGGCGGGTGGACAGGGCGCGGCAGTGGGCAGCCGGCGCCCCCGGGCCTGCCCGGCCCTTGTGGCTGGCCTGCCTGATGGCCTCCCTCGGGCTGGGCGCGGCCTGTCGGGCCGGGGGCTGTGAGGCGCCCGGTCCCTGTGAAGCAGCCCCTGGGGGTCACCCCCCCCACAAGCCCCCGACTCTCCCAGAGGAAAGGGGCTGCCTCGGGGGCTGGACGTGCACCCCACTGCTCCCGCAGGCCCCCTCCGTGAGGCCTGGCCACCCCTGCCCGCACCTGCCAGCCTCCGCCGGCCCACGACCACCTGTGTTTTGAGATGACACGTGTCCAGCAAGCTGCCCCGCAGATGAAACGACTCGTGCCACCTCGGGCACAGGCGGCGGCTGCCCCACAGGGAAGCCAGCGTGGTCCTGGCTTTGCGTTTCCACAGCGGGTAAAGCCCGTTTTCATGTGAGACCTGCGCGTTTCGGGCATTGGCAGCCGGGGAGACCTCTGCACAGGACCGGCCAAGGAACCTGCCCAAGGCACCCAGCTTTGGGGGCGCCGAGCCGCGCGGTGGGGGGCCCTCGGGGCTGGCCGCGCCTTTGTCTGCGGCTCAGCGGCTGCGGCGGCGGCGCGTTCCCATGGCGACCGGCCCCGCCTTCCGGGCTCTGAGGTTCGCTGAGTCCCCGAGGGCGCCAGGAGTGGGTGTCTGGCCCCAGGCCGCCCCCACCCCCTCCACCCTGCCACCTTCTGTTGGGGGTGATGTGGTGGGTGGGGCAGGGCAGTGGAAGCCCCGTCACCACGCCCAGGGAGGCCAGGGGCAGCCGAGCCAGCCCGGGGGAGGGCCGCGGCGGCTGCGCAGCCCAGGCCAGGGCTCCGGGTCTCCGCTGAGGGTGTGGGGCAGGTGGCCTGGTCAGTGCAGATGAGGAGTGGGCCTGCAGGCCCGTGGCAGGTCCCCTGCAGGGAGGTCAGCTGGGGGCATTGCGGCCACCCACCCCCTGGGTGCTTGGGGTAACCGCTGCCCGCCAGGACCAGCCCTCCTCGCCAGCCCTGGCTGGGGAGCACTTGTCCTGGGTCACAATTGTCCCACAACGCTGATGGCCATGGCGTGGCCCTGGGCCCGGTGGCAGGGGAGGTATGGCTCCTGGCCAGTGAGCAGGATGTGGCCCTGGCTGTCCTCTGGACAAGAACAGGAAGGTCAGCAGTGACTGTCCTGCCCCCGCCTCGGGGGGGAAATAAGAAGTGGAGACAGCAACAGCTGCTCGCTCTTGGCCTCAGTCCCCCGCCCCCGCCCACGCCTGCGGCCCAGCCCCGAGGGAGGGCACTGCCAGAGTTGTCCTCCCCAGGATGGGCCGGCGGTCCTCTCATTCTCCAAGCTGCAGCGGTGGCCCTGTCCCTCTGGTTTGGCTGGCCAGTATGGAAGGGCAGCGGTGGAACCCAGGGCTCCGGTGGCTGCCCCACCCCAGCTGACCTCGCTGGGCCCGGCCACCCCTCAGAGACACACAGGCCTGGTCTCCGGGCAGTAGGCCTGGGGCGGCGCGGCAGTGCCCAGGAGCCCCGGGTGAGGGGGTGGGCAGAGCCCCCTCGGACGGGCAGCCAGCCTTCTCCCACGTGTCGGGCCAGCCCATCTGTCAGGCCAGGCAGGTGCAGTGCTGGGCGTGTCCAGCTGACTGTCCACGCCCCTGGCCACCAAGCGCTCGGTGTCTGGGCTCGTGTGCGTGGAGCAGGAGCATGGGGCCACCCGTCTTTCCCGCCGCCGCTGCACAGTGTGGATGGGCCAGTGTCCACTGACCGCTGCGAGCATGTGTGCCCGGGGCCGCCGGCTGGCACACGTGCCCCCGGCGCTGAATGCAAGGCTCGGGGCAACACCCACCCCGTCAGCAAAGACCCCGTTAGCTCTGGGTACACAACCCTGTTCCACCTGTCCCAAGGGAGAGGCAGAGCCGAATCGGTGCACCCAGCCTCCAACGGGGACACCTGCTCTGCCTGCCGCCCGGCCCGAGGGCCCAGCGCTAGTGGCGGGCACCCGGCAGCGACGGCTGGGGGTGGCCGCACCCTGGGAGAGCCTGGGCTCTGGCCCAGGCCCACACCTGTCCCCAAGGGTCCCGCTCAGGGCAGCCAGCAGAGGGCGCTGGAGCCAGCCTGCAGCCCACATCCCCATGGCTCCCGCGCCCCGGCTGAGCCCCGCCTGCAGGGGGGCGCCCCTCTGTGCCAGGGCTCCTGTCTGCGCCCCGCGGACCACTCCCAGGGGCCCGGGTCTGGACCCCCAGCACCCAAGCCCCCGGCGAGCATGGTGCAGGCCAGGGCTGGGGGGTGAGGCCTGGCGTCCTCAGGCCCGCCGTCCCGGGCGCTCCAGGAACCCAGCCGACCAGCAGCATGAAAAAGACACTTGTATTTGATTTACAAAGATTTACAAAAGGGGACGGGAGTCCTGGGGGTCGACACTGGCCCCAAAGGCCCATGTGGGCCTCCAGGGTGGCCTGTCTGACAGGCCAAGACCAGGACCAAGACCCGGCTGCCGGGGCCCCGACGTCTGACGTCCAGCTTGACCTTTTAAGGTGGGGCCCTTGGCCCGGAGCCCCTGGAGTGCTGAGCCCCGCAGGGAGGGCCGGTGAGGTCAGGAAGGTATTGTACCGCTTTTTCTCCTCTAGGTCCCGCCAGACCGTCTGGACACCAGGCCCTGGGGTCCAGGCCACCAGGCTGTGTGAGGCGGCTGCTGGTGCTGGGAGGGGCCCGCTGTCCCCAGGGCCCAGCGTGGCCGGGGGCCTAAGGCACGTTTGCGAATGCAGTCCTGGGGGCCCGCGGAGGCCACGCGATGCTGGTCTGCGGGGCTGGTGCTGGCGGCCCGCGGTATTGCTCAGGAGAGGGGCTACGGGCTACAGACACGAGCGGGGCTCCCGCTGGGCCCACGCTCGGGGTCGGCTCCGCCGCTGTGGGGAGAGTGGGAGCTGAGCCCCTCAGGCCGCGCCGCGCCCCCCCCAGCTCCGGCCCAACGCACCTGCACCGAGCCGCCGGCGCCTCAGAGGTCCGTGACCTTGTTCTCCAGCGCGGCCGCAATCTGCTGCAGGCGGAAGGCCAGCTGCATCTTCTGGGCAGCAGAGTCGGCCTCCAGGGCGTTGATGATCTGAGGACAGGCCAGGTCAGGGGGGGCGGGGCTGGGGCGGGGCTGGGCAGGGCTGGGCTCGGCCTGAGGCGGGGCTAATGCTGGGAGGGGCTGGGGCTGGGCGGCTGCAGCTGAAGTTTAAGCAGGGGCAGAGCCCTGTGACGCTTTCATCTTGTCACTAATAGCTCAAAATATTTTATTTTCTCTTCTTATGAAAGTAAATGAATTAAAAAATGTAAATGTGTCTCATCTAAAAGGAGAAAGCGAGGCGGGAACCACAGGGTCCTATGAGATGACTG